TATGTTAATTTTTTGTTTAGGTTTGGGGGTTTTTCCCTTTTTTTTTTTTGTTTGTTTGTTTTTATGCAGAGCAAGGCTGTGCCAATAAAACCTTGTAACTAGTCACTTCCACTGGGGCATCAGAACTTGCTGGGCTGTTCCTGCTACTTGTTGGCTCAACCTCCTTAACAAGAAGAGCCGCAGTATGAAGCTTGAAGTTATTTAAAATACTAAAAACCTTTCTAGGTGTTCCATTTTATTAACGGGTTGTTGCAATCATTTGTAAACTAATGAACTTATAAAGTAATTGGCACAAATCGAGATGAAAGTCCTTGAATGAAAAATTTTTATATAAAAGCTACAATAAAGTACAAGAACATGTCATCCGCTTCAGAGGCATAAGAGATGTTGCCATAGTCATGACAGTGGTTTTGTTATTGAGAGACTAATGGGAACTGTTTGTTCTTTATTAGGAGACGAACCTGGGTCTGTGAACTTACACAATTTCATTGCCTTACAGAAATCGACTCTATTTTGGTTGTAGTTTTTAGTCGTTAGGCCTTCGCACCGCTGGGGCCAAGCTAAGGGTGTGTTCCGTGGATTAAGCACTTCCACAAGTGCAGAAGCATGTTTTTGTTATGGTTTTGTTTTTTTTTTTTTTTTTTTTTTTTTTAGTTGACTATGAAACTTGTGCTTTTCTCTCTATCAGGCACCCGCGGGTCCTTGTGCATTTGCTTCTAGATCCAGTTTTTAGCTCTAAAGAAGCGATGGGCGAGGTTTGGCACCGCTTCCCGTGGGCGGGGGGTGAGGGACAGACCCGGCCCCGGCCGCCGCCCGCCCCCGCCCTCGGCGCATGCTTCGGTGTGGGTTCCACTTCTCCTGGCAGAGTTCCTTGGCAATGTACAGTACTTTGTAAACTTGCATCAAGTTTATAAATAAAAAGCATTTTACGAAGCGCTGTGTCCGTGCTGGGGCCCGGGGGGTGAAGGGGGGGGACGGGGATGGGGCGTGTGAGGGCGGGACGGGTCCTCCGCGCAGCTAGGGGGCGCCCTTGCGGCGGCCCGGCCGTGCCGAGCGGAAGCGGTGTCTGTGGCGCGGGGCGGCGGGGCCGTGAGGCGGCGGGGCCATGGAGGCCAAGGGCGGCTTCGTGCTCGCCAACCTGGCCGAGGTGGTGGAGCGCGTCCTCGGCTTCCTGCCCACCAAGGCGCTGCTGCGCGCCGCCTGGTAAGGCCCGGGGCTGCGGGGGGGAGGGCGAGGCGGCGGCCGGCCCCGGTTGCCGGGGGCGGCGCGGCCGACGCGGGGTGTCCGTGCTGTGTTGCAGTGTGTGCCGGCTGTGGAGGGAGTGCGCCCGGCGGACGCTGCGGGCGCGGCAGCGCATCGCCTGGGTGTCGGCGCTGGAGCCGGGCCCCGCCGACAGCCACGCGCTGGTGCGGGCGCTGGGCCGCGAGCTCGAGGTGAGGGGCGGCGGGGGGCGGGAGGGGTGCGTGTGTGTGTGTGGGGCGGGTGTGTCTGTCAGCGCCTTCGTGCCGCCCCTGAACGCTCCACCCGCTCCTCCCAGGGGCCCGGCGCGGGGAGCGCGTTCGGAGGTGTGAGCGGTTTGGACAGTTCGGTGCTGTGTTAGTTAATACACTGATGGAAACGCCGCGGGTTTCCAGGTCAGGGCGCGTCTCTTCATCTCGGCGATCTCGTTAAGAGATAAACCCTTTTTAGCCTGGGAGACACAGGCGACATTGCAGGATTTCTCTGGCAGGATTCTTTTCCAGTGTTCACTAGTGCTAGATCTTCACCACAGAAAGATTCCTGTCAAGTTGTTAAGCACTAAACAGAGACCTCAACAGATGAGTGTTAAACCAACGGGGACTGGAAAGGCCAGCAGCACCTCCACACTGTTCCCAGCATCAGCGCTGACAAAAGCCAACAGCCAGGACTGGAAGGAGTTTAGACAGCGTTAAAACGAGCGGTCAAGGGGCCAAGCTGCAGAGCTGTCCTCGCTCGTGTGGGGCTTGGGTCGGTTCTGTGCCCCTTCATTAGATCAGTCTGGGCAGTGCTGAGGCTGCGGGAGGTGTCCTGTTGTCTGACGGGAGCTCGGGGCGGGGGCCGGGGCCGTGTGCCCTCGGAGCGGTGTCTCCTCGGTTCGTGCCGCCGCTGTCTGTCTCCCTCCCTCCCTGTCCCCGCACTCCTTGTCCCGTGTCTCTGCAGAAGGTGCACGTGCTGCCCCAGACCGTGCTCTACATCGCCGATGCCGAGACGTTCAGCGGGCACGAGGAGTGTCACGAGCAGAAGAAAGGTAACACCTGGCCCTGACTCGCTGCCCTTTCCGGGAGTGCTCGGGGGTGGAGCAGCGTCGGCTGAAAGGGAATTTGCCTGGTGTGAATTTCAGTGGGAAGTAAATCTTTTGCAAAAAGCACGACCCCCTAGTCCTGCCTTTGTGATGTGAAGTAGCCTGCAGGTGTGTGTTAATGTGCGCGGATCC